GGGCTCAAACTGATAAGCGATATTAACGACGCCGTTGTTTACAATACAACCGCTGAGGTGAGGGGCGGGACCTTTAGACACGCACTAGAGGCGGTTTAGCCAATCACAACACACTGGGCTAGCTAACCAATCAGAGCCCAACGCCTATTTCTGAGGGAGGGGCTTCATAAAAGGAAATGATCAGCCCGTTTCTCAGAGAAGGGACAGAGAGTTGTGGAATAAAGGTAAATTATCTGAAAAATAATGCGTTTTTTTAAAAACGAAGCATTAACACATGTTAGACTGCACCCCATAAACACAATCAAGCCTAGAAAAAACCCAGTGAACCACCCCTTTAATCAAAGAACAAAAGAAAATCATTAACTGACTGAATATCTTTCGTAAATTTAATGAGGATTAATCAATATTTTATTTATGAAAACTATACAGTGTTTTTAAACTATTGATTTCAATTTCTGTACCTGACATTTGTTCAGTTTTATTTATTTATGCTATTGCTAATTTATTTGTTTACTTGTCTTTAACAATTTAATGTTTGAAATTTATACTAGTCTAGTTGTTTTTTTCGGTGGTATTTTTTTGATAAAACCATAGACAAAAAACTGAATAAATATGTTTGACATCTAAATATTTGACTTAAAATTTGTTTAATGGATTTTTTATCTTATTGGAATCGGAACCGGAATCGATAAAATTCAAATAATACCCAACCCTAACCATAATACTTCTATTCTGGTTAATGAACAGTATTTTTTGTTAACTGTTTATCATATGTCTTAGAAGTAACAATAAAAAAAAGTAACATTTGAACTCTATTTTAGCTTTGTTTGGAGTATTGTGCGAGTACTGTATTACGAGAAGAGATTATGTATCTGTACTATGTATTGAACCAAATCATGACACAAGTGTATTGTTACATGCCTATATTCTATATTTTGTCTGTAACATAATTAACCATAATCATGAATAGTAAGACATTTTTGGGTCATGACGTTTACTGAAAATAGACTGGTGTCAGTAGACTAGTTTCTCATCTAGACAGTTTTTGTGCATTTTTTGCAAAGATTTTGAGGGAAAATCTGTTTGATGGATTTAAACATGGAAAAATGTGTTAAGCTGAGCTGAAAGTACTACATTACTGGCAGCACAAAGCATGATCAAATTAGCCAAAATATTTATGAGCTGCAAGTTCAAATCATTTTAACAGATCAGTTCTTTTTAATTATGTTTTAATCAACCCGTTCAAAAATGTTTTTTTTGTAAAAATACATGTTGATAAATATTGCAATGTATTAAGTCTTCATAAAAATGAAAAATATAAGAAATATTTATGTTATTATATAATATAAATTTAGGGTGCATATTAAACTTCCAGCAGATACCGATCATTTTTCTCATGTGACGGCTGATAACTGATGCATATGCACAATTAAACATACAATATCAACTGACAAAGATAAAAAACAAAATTTTTAAAAAAAGATTAAAGGGGTCCTATTATGCTTTTTCACTTTTTCAACTTTAGTTAGTCTGTAATGTTGCCGTTTGAGCATAAAAAAGATCTGGGGCTAACCAATCACAGCCCATTTCGTATTTCAGAAGGCGGGCCTTCATTTGATACAGGAACTATTCGAGCCGTTCATGCCAGACTGGGGAGAGAGGTGTTGTAATAATGTAAAATATGTGAAAAATAATGTGTTTTTCGAACAACCTAGTATGAGATCATGTTCTAGTACACTCCCAAAACAAAATCAAGACTATATAAAAGAGCATAATAGGACCCCTTTAAGAAGAAGAAAAAAACTATTATACAGGCCTATTACCAACATGGAACCGATATATTTAGTTTAAAAATTATTTGACTGTTTGGTTCAAATTGTGGTTGACATGATTTTGAATCTGCACAAACCATAAATCATAATAAAGGCCTTTTTTTTTTAGCTACATCACCCAGCCCTCTATGCTGAATAATCTCAGTTATGCTAAACAAAAGAAAAATCTACAGAATTTACTGTATAACCATCAACATTAATAGAATTCGAGATTCACAATCAGCTTTGTCATAAACATGCTTCTAACTCAGAAATCCAGTTCCAGACTTATAAAACGGAGCCATAAGCACATTTCACAGTGAAGCTAATATAGGCACAACTGAACAGAGCAAGTGTTTCTTTTAAGCAGCTTACAAAAAAGTGCTCTGCATTGCGGAGAACGTAACATGCATTTGAGCTTGAATGTCTGAATTCAGCCGATTGGCTGGTAGCCAACAAAGCAAAAGTGTGCTGCAAGACTCTTGGAGAGTGAAGTCTGGTGAATTAAAGGTCATATAATCCACCACACAGTCTCTGACTTGACATCCTGCTGTTGGCAGGAAACTAGACCGATACGTCAAGCTGTTGCCTTCACCACTGACTAGCACTATTAATAAGCATGACAATAGGTGTGCCCCAATTCACGTACTTATGTGCTAATCTATAGCATTTTGTAGTGTTCGCACTGAAAAATCCTACAAGTACTGCACTTCAAATCTCTGGATGATACACTAAACTAAAACACAAAGTCTGGAATGTTGGAGTCTTCATGCACTCAAACGTCACAGTTTTCCTTACGTAGCAGAATAAGAAGGAATGGGAAAATCAGACTGGATGCTGGAGGACAAATGAACCATCTAAACGACAGTACAGAGTGCAAAAGTGCCTACAGCTTTTGACTTGTTGGTTCTAGAAGTATTTTTACCATGTATTTTTTTCCATAGGGATTTTAAAAGTAGGGTTGGGTATCGTTTTTTTTTTTTGATACCGGTGACAAATCGATACTTTTAAAACGGTTCCGGTGCCTAAATGGTGCCTGAACTGATACTTATTAAAAAAAATAAAAAAATAAATAAAAATTCCCCCCAGAAATGATGGATTGGCCATTAGAACAGAAATAGAATAGAGAGTGCAAATGTTAGAGGGTCAAGTTTTTTAATTAAAAAAAACAAGCAGATAAAATTAGAAGTAGCATTAGAATAGAGAGTGCTAGAGTTAGAGGGTCAAATGAAGATGAAAGAGATGTGTTTTCAGCCGTTTCTTGAAAATAAGACTGAGCTGGGCAGGTCATTCCACCAGGAGGGAACAGTTAATGTAGAAGTCCATGAAAGTTTTATCATAGGTAGAATGCAAAATGTTTCAATACAAGCATTTCAGTCAAATGTAATTCATGCAATATTTCAAACCTTTAA